GAAAATTGAATGTGAGCTATAATTATGACATTAACTGTCCACTTGTCTGTCCCTTCCAGAAAAGTAGATTTTGTATATTATAAACTTTTGCATTTCACAGTACCTCATTTATCATCTTCTTACGTCATTTATTTCTACCTAATACTTATCACTCATTTTTCACTCTGGTCTTAAAGATAATGAAAGCAGCCCTGAAACTGACCATATAATGATCTAACATAATGACCATTCTACCAAATGTATACCATGCTCATTTTTAACTAAGTACTTTAAACAAATCCAGAATCAATACTGTTGTCCTCAGGGAACCAGTTTATCTTGGGAATCATTGCATAGAATTTGGATTTCTCCTCCTGACTATGTATGTGTAAAATGTTCTATAAGAATATCTACGTAGAATACATCTTGAAAAGTTTTTAAAAACGGACAGTTGTCCATGCAAAATACATTTTGAGTAACCTATTTCAGCATCATTTATATAAGGCTTCAATGCTAATGGTGTGGGGAGGAATTTTAGATCATAACTGTTATCCATGTGGTCTTAAAGCATCCCATTTAAAACAGTCATGTGTATCACTGTATTCAGCTGTCAACCACACAATTAATATTTATCTTCTTTTCCATCCCATAGTTGGCCTTCCATATATTTTAACTTTATTTATTTATTTCCTATATTTATACCCCACCCTTCTCCCCCTGAAAGGGGACTCAGGGCAGCTTAACAAAAGCATCATACAATGCTAGCATCATAAAAACAACCACAGTACAATCAAAATATTAAAAATTAAAACAACAATTAAAACAATTAATTAAGACACATCCATTAAAATTGAAATCCAAAAACCAGTCCAGGTCAATTCATTGCCATAAGTTGTGTGATCTTCTTCCACTTGCTGCTCACTGATCAAACGCTTGGGTCCCATAACCAGGTCTTGATTTTCCTTCTAAAAGACAAGAGGGAGGTGGCCAATCTGATATCTCTAGGGAGGGCATTCCATAGGTGAGGGGCCACTGCTGAGAAGGCCCTGTCTCTCGTCCTCATCGACCGTGTTTGCGATAGTGGTGGGATCGAGAGCAGGACCTCTCCTGAAGATCTTAAACTTCGTGATGGTTCATGGCAGGAGATAGGGCAGGTAGTCTGGGCCAGAACCGTTTAGGGCTTTAAAGGTTAAAACCAGCACTTTGAATTGTGCTCGGAAGCTGATCGGTAGCCAGTGGAGTTGGCGTAACAAAGGAGTTGTATGTTCCTTTTTACGTCTCTCCGGTGAGCAACCTGGCTGCCGACCGTTGGACTAGTTGAAGCTTCCGGGCTGTCTTCAAAACTTTACACCTTACATTTTTGGTTAGTCCAGAGTTTTTTAAAGATACCTTGGGCATCTTCATTTTCCTATTATGAACCGACTTATATAAGGTTGGCAACTCTGATCCTTCAAATGGTTCTGGTCTGCAAATTCTGTAATTTTTAACTATAACTCTTATATATGATTTACTACAGAATTTCTTAATATAAATAACAATATATTTTAAACATAAGAGGATCTAGAAAGATGTAAATATCTGGGCAAGCAACTCTAACTTAAAAAAAACAAACAAACAGAAAAGATGCTGCAGTGAAGATTATTTAAGCCAGCATGCTTAACTGCCCAAGATCTTCATGCTGGGCCAGTTTACTGCTGTCTGTTTCACCTGTCACTTTCTGCATGATCATTTACTCCTATAAGGCAAGGCCTTTCATTACGCAGGGTGAGGTGAATACCAAGAGTGGTAGAGGCAGCTGTTCCTTCTGCTCATTCGTTTCATCCAGTAAGCAGAGTAGTGTGTGTTAAACAACTTCTTGTTGTTCACTGCTGTCAGAATGATTTTACCTTGTGGTGGACCTAGTCATCTTGACTTTCTAGGTTCAGACTTGTTTTGCACTTGGACCCATTTATTTGTCTTTTTTGGCAGCCCATGTTATCCGCAGAACTCTTCTCCAGTACATTTCAAATGGGCTGATTCTCTTTCTATCAACTTTCTTAACTGTACTGTATTCACAAGCTTAAGTAGAAATTGGAAATGCAATAGCAAGGCCAATTTCAGTAATCTCGATACTTCAGGATCTTCTCTAGTTTCTTCAAAGCTGACTCCCAAAGTTTTCTTCTGATTTCTTGACTAGTCTCCATTCTGATTAATGACTATGTGAAGGTGTGGAAAATCTTTTTCTATGTCTTTCTTTGTTGCCTACTTTAAAATTATGCAAACACCTGTATTTTTGTTTTCTTAACATTCAGTTGTAAAGCTTCTTTTGCACTTTTTCCTTGACTTTCTTCAACAGTCAATTCAAATCTTTGGTGTCATTGACATATCTTAAATTAATGTTCCTTTCTAACTCCCATGCTTCTTTTCACTGAATCTCTCTTGCACCACTAAACTAGTGTAATGCCCCGAGTGTGTAGAGAATACTCTTCCATTGACAGAACTCAGAATGAAGAAATACACATCTTGAGCTTTGTTTTAGGGCAGCAAAGTTATCTTGGGTTAAACCTGATGCCCTGGACTATTGGGCCCTAGTCCTTCTACGATGGATCCCCTCTCCAGGCTGGCCCTGCGATTTCAAATCCTTGAGATCCTGTTACTCTCCTTTCCCCGCAATATTCTTCCATGGATTGGGTACTTAGCTTCAAGATGATCTCTATATGGACTAGTAGATATTTTGTTCAATGAGTTTACTGTAGTAACAGTCAGATACGGTTTTAAAAAGAGCAAACAAATAGAACTTCATTAGATCAAACATTAATCCTTCAACTATTTACTTATTCACAGTTTCCCCAAACTATGTTTAGTTCTTCCCCTTTGCTGACTGTCCTATCTCTATTACAGTTTTTCTTGTCTCTATGCCATCTTTCCCCTATTTACCTTTGGTCACAAAAAAGCATCAGTTTTGTATCCTTCCCCTTCACAATAGGAGAACCCCCCCCCCTTTCCTCACCATTATCAAAAACACACCTATAAATTTACAATAGAGTCCCAGTTAATTGCTATTGTCCAGTCATGCAAAATATCAACACAAAGCATTCCCTATGATCCTAAGTATGAAAAGTGGTATTTTGGAACAGGTTCAGAATTAACTGAAGTATTTGCAGCAGAATGTATTCAAGAGCTGGTCATAATAGAATGGTGTCCTGAGATGGTTTTTAAGCAGCTGATTTTAAAGTGGATATAAATGATTTTAATGTTTGTATTTATTTTTGTTTTTATTTCCAGCATTGAATGTTTGCTGTATATATCTTGTGCTCCACCCTGAGTCCCCTTCAGGGCGAGAAGGGTGGAATATAAATATTTTAAATAAATAAATAAATGATGCGGAGAATGGTTCCTACCAACCCCAATTCACAACGTAAGCCATAACAAAATCATATTGCAAAAAGAACAGAGTGTGATATCCAATATCTAATTCCACAAGCTGATATTTTGGTCATTCTCCAGACCTAAGAATAGATTTAGAGAATGTACAGGAGAAAGTTGGATACAATCTGGT